GTATTTTTTAATATATTTGTTCAGTTGAAAGATTGGACTGGATATACAAGTAGTCTAACCCTTCACTTTCACATGACTCCCAATTTTTAATCAAGCAATTAGCGTGGAGAAGGAGACTCTTCTTTTCCTATGAAGGTTCCCATGTTTACTCAAGAAATTATCTTAGCTAACGAGTTTCTAATAAAATCTTTATCTTAGAAAGTGGACTTATAGTAATATTTGATTAAGGTAGAAGCTAAGATAGCTGCAAAAGAATGTTGTCAATGATGCGAGTAAATGATCACTAAATGTTAAAAGATAATTGAACTGAATTAAATTTGATTCATGGGATATGCCGTAATTGGATTATCTTCATCGTTGTACAAGATTTACTATTTATACAGGGGTAAATTGGCTGTTAACATGCTCAACTAATTATCTAGTCGTGCCAGAGATTTTGCTCCTAACATTAGGACACTATCCATTGAAATTGTTTAGTATTAGAGTATTAATATGGAGAGGTTAATCTGCAATCATTCTTTATGCTATGAAGTGTACGTGAGTGCCCCAAAGTCATGTGTCTAATCCATGATTGGTTAGGACTCAATATTTGACATGCAGCAGAATTTGTATAGACTGAATCTCCTTAGACAAAATAACATACTATTTTGCCTTTTTAGCCGAGCCATGCTCATCTTATGATCAGAAAGCTTGGGCATTAGTTAAATTTTAAGAAAACCGTTAAAATGATAAAATGGCAGATGGAATGTCAAAAATCAGATAGAGAAATTTAAGAAAAAACAAAGATCAGCAAGTTAATAGAATGTGCAAGAGAAAGTGAAAAGCTCTTAATTGATGTTAATTCCCTCTTGGAAAATATTTAGTTAATTTTTATTTTTTATTTTTGGCAGAAGTTGTATGAACAAGCAAGTCAAGTAGCCAATGACGCAGTTGGTAATATAAGAACAGTTGCTTCTTTTTGTGTAGAAGAGAAGGTGGTGGAGCTATATAAGAAGGAAAGTGAAAGCCCAATAATGACCGGGACAGGAAAAGGGCTGATTAGTGGGATTAGTTATGCTATTGCATCTTCATTACTTTTCTTTGTATATGCTGCAAGTGGTTATGCTGGAGCTCGACTTGTACAGGACGGGAAAATTGCAACTTCTGATACTTTCCGTGTAAGCATTTACTTTACATGTGTAATGCATTTTTTCTATTTTTAATAAATTTATTCAATGGGAATCTAGAAATATGATTTATGATGGAAATTCTCTTATGTTTTTTCATCCATCAATATATATAGAACCCCATGTATAATCCTTCATGGATATTTGGATATCACCATTGATATGGGACAAGGGAAAAATAAAAAAAGGGTGAAATGCAGAAATAGTGTTTGAATTTAGGAAGAAACCTCCAAATGTAATTTCTTTTTCTTCTTCAGAGCTGCCAAAAAGTGGCTAAAATTAAAAAATAGGAAAAGGAAAAACAAAGATAAAGGACTATGCCACATTTCTGTTAGATCTTGTGTCACCTTTTTGTTTTTAAATTTTTGGGGGAGCGGCCCGTCATAACGGGAGGAAAGAAGGAAGAGGGGACGTTTTTTTATGGAGTTCACATCACTTGCGACTATTGCGATGGAACTCCAATCTCCATCAAGTAGTTACACGAGTATTTCACAATTTAAAATTCCTTTTGTTTTTAATTATTAAGTTATCTCCCCAGTATTAAATAATAACTCTCCCTCATGTTTTCTTGCAGGTTTTCCTTGCTGTGTATTTGACAGCTATGGTTATTTCTCAGTCAAGCTTCTTTTTTAATGATTTGAAAAAAGCTAAGGGTGCTGCCGCTTCAATAATTGCTATATTAGACAGAAAGTCTAAGATAGACTCAAGTAACGAGGATGGTTTGACTTTAGACCAAAGCAAAGGAGTAATAGAGTTTAAAGAAGTATGCTTTGCATATCCAACAAGGCCAAATATCCAAGTTCTTCATGGCTTCAACTTGACAATTTTAAGTGGGCAGGTATATGTCTCAAGTAATAGTTAGTCATTTAATTACTCTATGATTTTGTTTGGTATGATTATTAGGATGCGGAATGTAGCAACACAAATTACAAAGGAATAATAGCACTTATGGTCCCTCAATTATTGGTAAATTCTGATTTTGGTACATGTGATAAGTGAGTAAGCACATTTAACCTTCATGTAATAAAAATGTGTATTTTTGGTCCGTTTATGTTGGAAACATGTTATATTTAGATTATTTATAGAATTATATTATCCTCATATATAGAGTAACAATAAAAACTTAGCAACATGGGTAATTAAATGGTATAATGGTTAATAATTCGGTAAATTTGTAAAGATTCACAAGCAGAGGTGTCAAAAGTGTATATTTAAATTAATTGAAGGTTAAATGTGCTTAATCAGATATCACAAGGACCCAAAATAAGAATTTGTCAATATTTGAGGCAGTAAAAGCGCAAAATTTTTAATTACAGATTTGGTTAGTTTAAACCATGTTCAAATCTTAGCCTGAATTATAAATGCGGGTAAGCTTTTATTTCAACTAGCCATCACAGAAAATAAAACCATTGCATATCAGGAACATGCAAAAATGGTGATCTACTCCAACAGGAAATAGACAAAGTTTAGCCTATTACTTGCTCGTGACAAAATTGTGTATTTCTCAATTATTAACATCTACATTTGTTTACTACGTTCATCTAGACAATTGCTTTAGTCGGAGAAAGTGGCTGCGGGAAGTCTACAGTGATCTCACTCTTACAACGATATTATGATTTTAATTCGGGTCGAATTATGCTAGATGGAATAGACATTACAAATTTCAACTTGAAATGGCTGAGGCATCAAATGGGGCTTGTGAGCCAAGAACCAGTTCTGTTCAATGACACAATCCGAGCCAACATCATGTACGGGAAGGACGGAGATGCGACTGAAGGAGAACTAGTAGCTGCAGCAAAATTGGCAAATGCCCACAAGTTCATTTGTGGCTTACAACAGGTTAGGAAACCATTCATCTAATTAGCCATAGAGCAAAAGCTAACCTGGATATGCAATATCAAAGAATTCATGTTCTCCCTATGCATCTTAAAATATTCAATATGTGAGGGAGGAGGCTTACTTTGTGTTCTTTAATTTTCTCTAGAGTTGGAGCAAATCTGAAGTTGTTACTACTAGCTAGTTTACAACTCCAACTTCCTTTTTATTGGGGTGGGGAGGTGGGGGGTCCCATGGAAAAAGAAAAGGCTTACTAATATTATATTTTTTTATAGATAATGTTGGAAAATACTCTACAATGAAAAGTTGGTATGAGAAAAAACACAGAGATTTGAGAGGTTGGTCTTGAAAATTCTTAAATACATGGTGAATGATATTAGAACAATTGTTTCTTGTTACTAGGTCTTTTCTTCTAGAATTAGTAATTATGCTTATCCTTTAGATTAGATTATTATCATAGATAGGCTTTAAGAGTTATCTTTCAGTTAGCTTGGTGTTTTGACTTGTACGAGCCTCCTAATACAAGTAGTCCTAGGAAGGTGGTTACTACTTAAACCTATATTAAAACTCATTATGACGTTCAATGCAACACACAGTTTTCATTGCCTTTCAAAGTGTTTATAAATACCATATACAGAGAGACTAAGGGCTTTTTAAATTAAATAAATGAGGACATTGAAATCCAGACATTTAAAATCAATGTATACATTTTAGTTCTTAATTCAATATTCTTAATTGATTTCAATGTGTCTAAAACCCCAAAATTGAGATTTGGATCAGGGTTACGATACCATAGTTGGGGAGCGAGGTGTTCAGCTTTCAGGTGGTCAGAAACAAAGAGTTGCCATTGCACGAGCTATTGTGAAAAATCCCAAAATATTGTTACTGGATGAAGCTACTAGTGCGCTTGATGCAGAATCTGAAAGGATTGTCCAAATGGCATTAGACCAAATCATGGTAAATCGAACTACGATTATAGTAGCGCACAGATTATCAACAATTGAGGGAGCAGACTTAGTTTGTGTGATGGAAAATGGAACCATCATAGAAGAAGGAAACCATGAAACTCTTATCTGTAACGAAGATGGCCACTACGCCTCCCTCTTCAAACTTAATGCGGGATCTCTCTCATAATCTCTTATTTTGGCTATATACATGCCTCGTGCTTTTTATTAACCTGATGCTAGGATATTATCAAAAGTTGTAAGTTATTGGCAGTTGCATAGCAAACTGTACGTACTCGCATTATGTTCATTGTTAATATGTACTATTAAACTGTGTTTAGATGTTCTTGCAAGGAAATACATGTCAAGTGGTCAAAATATGACTTCCACCACATTAAACCACCAAAGTAAAAGCCATATTATCCTTATGTCAATTTGAGCATTAGAAATTGTGGATTACTAGCTTGACGGTTATCCAATGGACTATGAGCAGTGGTGCCTTTGGAGATATCTATATCTATATCTATATATTATTAAAAGGAAGAAAGTTTGGCATAGAATTGTGACAAGTGGCGGAATAAGAAAATGACACGTGTTAGTTTTAGGACAAAAAGTAGTTATTAGGAGTAATTATTAGTTACATTAGTTAATGTTTAAAATTTTGTCCTAATCCTTGCAAAATAAAAATCACAATTTTTGGTAAGTGGTTGTACTTTTTACGCAATAATAAAACTGAAAAATTAATATTTAATTATTGGTCTTCATAGAGCACATTTTATTTAAAATAATTAAATTAAATATTTGATTTAATTAATAATAGGTTTTCATAGAGCACATTTTATTTAAAATAATTAAATTAAATATTTGATTTAATTAATAATAGGTTTTCATAGAGCACATTTTATTTAAAATAATTAAATTAAATATTTGATTTAATTAATAATAGGTTTTCATAGAGCACATTTTATTTAAAATAATTAAATTAAATATTTGATTTAATTAATAATATATACACACAACCTTTCTTGTGCATTGTGGCGGAGATGTGGTAAACAGAAACTGTACAAAGCCGGTGGAAACATCAGGAAGTTTAAGGGAGAATCTCTGGGAACGTGGACTCAATATCGGAAACATCAATCCATTATGTATCGGTTGTGCAGTTATTTTTGCAGTTGTAACATTTCCAGAACTTTTTATATAATTCTAACCATTCTACCAACATATCTTTGTATTAGGATTTCAAAGTATAATGGAATTTCGTATTTGTGGAGCACTTCATTTCCTCTCTAAATTCTCAAAGTAGTCTGCTTTACATGCCAAACTTGAACTTTTTCTGTTGGTAATTTCTAAATTCCCATTGAAGTGGACTATGCATCCAAGATGTTTGATGATATGCAAAACTTGAACTTCTTCTGTTGGTAATTTCTTGGGTGTTAGTTTTCGATTGTTTTGAATAATTTCTTGAGTGATCGTACCTAATTGCAAGGTATCAAAATTGCTGCTGTAAGATTAGGTCTCTTAATTTGTGCTCTATTGTTATTTGTTCCTGTAAGAATGACTTTATCAGTAGATCCAGTTCCAAAAAGGAAGAGAGGGACAAGGAAAGATGAGGATGGATGATCCGCACAACTGCTTGTGTGACAATCTCTTCTATTCAGAAGAGAAAGCGGAAGATGAACGAAGATGCACCTATTTTTTCAGTTAAGTTCTCTTCTTTCTCTCCCTTTTTCTTTTAATCGTGTGTTTATTGAGTAGTCTTAATGATAATCATTAAAGTGAACTATGCACCCAAGATGTTTGATGATATGCCTGACTATTCACCGAATGATATTTGAATAAGTACATAATGTAAAACATGTTTTAAATAGAGTTCTTCTCGCGAATGCATATCTTAAAACTGATCTTGAAGAACAATCATTGCTTTAAAATTATATTTCGACTCATAGTGCGGTTCGCTATGATTATTGCAAGTAATAATTCATTTCTTTGACACGTCTAGCTTTTCTCTTATTTTTTGTAATGTGACAAAAATTAATCAGCAATTAGGCCAAACTAATCTCTAATATTTCAAATTTGGTTCTTCTTTGGCATAGAGTAAAAACTAAAAAAAATAGAGAACTGGACTTCGACGCTGCCATAACGGATGCTTTTCCATGAAGAAGTAAACTAAAGGTAACTACCTTTTCCCTTTTTTTTTGTTAATGATACTTTGGCAGATTACTAGCCCTTTTTAATTGAAGACTTTTGCAGGTTTGATTTTAGTATCTTAGAGCTCAAGCATCCGGAACTACATTTAATAAAGTGGATTTATACAAACGTGCTTTTTACTATTAATTTTATACTAAATTGCTTACAAAAACTTATTCTTAAAATCTCTGTTTCTTTTTCAAGGAGCACAAAGTTATTTGATCCTATTGATATAGCATTCTCTTGGAGCTGCATGTGAGCTTTTATGGCATTCTGATCATATTATAGTTCAGCTTCGGGAAGTTTTTTTTTTTTGGGCTTTCTGAATGTTCACTTTATTTATATCATCTTTTGAGAGGCTAACGATTATAGCGAATTCAAAATATCGACGCTATGTTAGTCACCAAACTCAAAGGTTATCAACACGAAATCGAGAGAGTGAGGAACGGTTATTTGAGACTATGAGGCGGTACCTCGGTAGTGACTCTTGTTGGTATTTCGCGATATTGTTGGATCTCATCCTCTTGAAGGTAAGGCAAGAGGGATGAAGCCGAACCATAGGTGTTTGCAATTATTTTCCTATCCGTTACCAAAAAATAATATCTTCCTCTTCATCTCCTCTTACCTCTTCATATAAATTATTCTTGCCTTAATACATTACTTTATTCAAGGTTTGTTCCTGTGACTTAGAATACATCACTCTTTGTTGCAGTGTTGTGGCTAATTTTTGAAATTTTATATGCTTAATGCAGGCCTATTGCGTACAAAGATCAGTTGAAGCCTAATAAATTGAAAGAAAATTAATATGCCCTGATAAATATTTTATCCATTTTCTTTTAATTCGTACATTGAGTCCATGAAGTAAAGATTAACCATTGAATATTTTTAAGATATAAATTTTAAAATAATTTTGTCATCCATTCCTGTCCATGAATTATTCAGTTTGAGGCGTTTGTTTCACTTCATTGCATCATTAAATTGTTAGATACTTTATTCAATAGAATACTACAAATTACAAAGGTCTAGGAGACTAGGACCACAACAATGTTAAATTGTTGGATGAAGCAAGTGATTTGGAGTAAAGAATTGGATACTTGTAAGTGTAAAATAATACTGCTATTGCTTCATTTTTCAAGTTTCATTTTTTGTTCTGTTTTTTATTTTAGATCTCTTTATATACTTATTATCATATTATCCTTAAAGTACACTTTGTTATTATAACTAAAATATACACGTTATTTGCTCAAATTTACACTTAAAGAGAAGTGCTTCTTTGGAAGACATGTCGTCTCAGTTGTTTTATCCAATTCAGAAAATTTTCATCTCTTAAGGGGATAATATTGATTCTTTTAGTACCCACTGAAGCTACTTTGGCCCTTAATATGGCATATATTACTAACCATTGAATAGTGACAAAGACGACATAATAACATATAATCATCAGAAAGAGTTAATAGGCGCTCGATAGTATATGGATAAATTTATGCGCAACATTCAGATTTGCAGTTTCACATTCTTACTCAAGCCTTAAGTTATTGTTGTGATGAGGGTGGTTTGTCGACACCATTTCTTGAGCCCTTTCCACTAATATATTTCCTGTAGAATATTCTATTGCTCCACATCTCAATTGCAGCTATATGTTTTCCTTTAGTTATATGACTCTCAAAATCTTTTTTAGTAAGAAGGGTACTGCCCAAAACGATGTGAATTAAAGTATCTATATGGGAACTGGTCATAAACTCCTTACCTGGTATAGATCCCCTTCCTTATGAATCAGTTTTTCGGGTACAAGAAATGAGTGCCCCTAATGGCTTTTCTCTCTTCGGTTACTGTTCTACTGGCCTTTTGTTTAGTGGTAAATTGTAACTACCTACCTTATGCAGAGGCAAACAGAAAGCAATCTACAAACACCTGAAATAGAATATTTAATGTCAACGGAATTTCTTTTATGCAGGGCTGCCCTTTTTTTATGCACAGTATTTCAGTGTAGATGAAGATATTGTTTTGAACAGATTGATGAGTTGAATCCTCTTAGTGGAGATTTTTTCAGCAAGATTAGGAGTAACTAAGTTTCTCAGGTGGAAATACATAGACAATGTAGCTAGGTTGAGAAATGCTGAACATTTATAGGTTTCACCAACTCTTTTTCTTTGATGTGATTATCACGCAACAAGAAAATCTAAAAGTATTTCTTAGTATCTATCATCATTTTTATTTGTATTCTCTTTTTATTCGTTTTTACTTATGCCATGTTATTTAAGGTGCATGCAACTAATTATTGTTGTTAAGAAACTGAAAGAGATATTCATAAAAATATGGTTTTAGTTTTTAGTAGTTTAATTCAAGCTTGTCAGAGTAGTCAAAAGCCAAAAACAAAAGAAACGTTATGGCATGCCAGGTTTTTAACTCAAAACAAATGATGTGTAATTTTTCCGATTATGTTATTCGCAGGAAATAAGATTTGAATCAAATGTGATATGTGAATATATTGATAGGAAGCTGAGTTTTAGTGGCTGTCAGGTATGTGGAATTAATTGTCAATATCCACTTTGTGGGTTCTTACGCATTTACTTTTGTAGTTGATTTCCTTCCATAGTTGTTTTTTTATTTCTTATGCTGGACCTTTTAGAATTTGTTTTTGTACTATTACGGCTTTGCAGCTATAAGATGGAAATATTATATACTTTCACAAATCTCTTTGAAAGCAAGGCAATAAACAATATCGCTTTCCAGAGGTTCCCTCAATTTTGGAGTACTTCCACAAGAATCATCAAGTTTGTGATGCGTCCTCTTATTGTGATATTAGTCCCCAGAGTATTAAATACTGTATTTATTTGAAGAAAGGGTTCCTAACGAAACAGTAGCAATTACGTATATCATAGAAAATGTTAGTCTGAAAGAATATCACAATAAGAATATAAAATCTGCAATATGTCACACATGATTCATATAAATTTGTTTTTATTATCTCTCTATTCTTTTTTCTTTTGAAACGATCTGCGCATCGCGCGGATACGTATACTAATTTTGTGTAAATGTGCGTCGAAATGTGGCACCCATAGATATGTTGTCTTCGGATCGGAGTAGTTTAACAGAAGTCCAGCAGTGTGTGGCCACTGAATGTTATCAAGAGAAATTTCAAGGAAGGAATTCACTCATATATACTACTTAAGTTTATGTAGTATTGAATGAGATGGTATTTGGCTTTTTTTTTTTCTTTCTTTGTAGGTGATATTAAACGCTAGCGAAAATCTTGATTATTTTGCTAGTTCTACAAGTTTGATGGGTACATATGGGGTAGTGAAGTTGCATGAAATAATCAATATTTACAATCGGCAAGTTTGATGGGTATAATGAGACGCTGACTGAAACGAATCTCTGTTTCAAATATTACTTACTTACTTTCCAGGCCAGAAGTCAACCAGAACCTTTAGTATGTCTTGGGTGGAAAAGAGGAAGAGGATGGTAAAATTGTTATATATACGGAAAGGATGCTTCTACCGACCCAAATCACGAGACCACTTCATTATGATACCCATAAGCCATCTCTTACGTACCCTCCTCGTGCACTCCATAGTATCTTCAATTGATACACCCGATCTGAAAGACCTCCTGCGAATTCGAAGTTAATTCTCCTATTTTTCTAACACTGCACCGCAGACCCGATGATAACATAGATATTCTCCAAGTATTCTTCACACTCTGCTGCAAAACCCAATCCCCAGCCACATAACGTATCCAATATCTTTAAACACCGCACTTTACTTTTTGAACCCACTAGAACCATTGTTGAGAGCCACTCACTCTGACCTGGTCCCGAATTTGTAACCAAACTCTAGTGCTCTACTAGCACATGAACACTTCCAAGGAAGCAACCGAATGAATTTTTTTCCTTGCACATCACATCCACGGGAAGCATAAATTCTGAGTCATCCCCAACACCCGCACATGAATCGATAAGGCGAAATGTAACACATGTACGTCAAATTCCTTGTCCAAAATGCCCTTGATATTTTTCTCCTCTTGGTCATAACTAATCCACCAATGCACCGTTAACCAGAAACTACACAGGCACACAACCACGTGACTCAATCATAGACGGTGGGCTCCCCCACATAACTTTACGCTACAATCACATAGATCCAAGCCCCACAACGACCTCTTCTGCCTAGTTACCATGATCCCACACCGTTGCTCGGCCAAAATTCTCATAAGTTCTTGTTAGACTAATCATAACACATCCTGAATTATCAGCCACAATCGCACACTCGACCTCTTAACAATCGTACCATCTTTTTCAAGCAATCCAAACTCACACCGCAGTACATGCATCCCATGTTGAATAGGAAGTAGAACTCTTCATAGGAATCTCATCAAAACCACGCAACCACTAACCTGCTCACATGAGATAGCCCACTTGTGTAACCTCATATCGACCATCTCCAACGTCATTGCTATAGTTACATCCATCATGAAATCAACTAATCTCCCTGGGTCCACATTGATCCGCCAGCCGTAAGAATCCCTTCATTCATTAACATCACCTGAAGGTCAACAACGTGTTTGAAACTCGAAGCCGTATTGCATCCAAGGCAATGATCGAATACTTCACCTTTTCCTACATTTCTGTAACGACCCGGCCGGTCGTTTTGAGTATTTTAGCCCCGATCCCCTATTTATTATTTTCTCTATGTTATATTATGGGTATGTGAATTGTCGGGGTATTTGGTTTTGGTTTCGGAGTGAAAAAAGACACATAGTCTCAGATTTGGTACTTTTACCGACGGGAATTGGTATTTTAGCAACCAGATTAGTGTTTTTATAGGGCAGTTTTTTTATAAGCTTATTTCAACATTTTTGGAGCTAGGGAACTCGGATTTGGGCGATTTTTGAGAGGATTTTCACCACATGGATTGGGGTAAGTATTTTTGACTCGATTTTTATTATATTCTATGATTCCATCTTCGTTTTTGGTCTTTAATTTGATGAATCTAAAGTGAAAATTTGGGGGTTTTGTAAAAAAATCCGAAAATATGAAATTCATTGATTTGGGAGTCACATTGGACTCCGATTTGAACAAAAATCACGTAATTGAACTCGTAGGATTATAGGTAGTCGAAATCTACCCCTCGTCTCGGGTTTGACTGAGCGGGTCTGGGTGTTGACTTTGGGAAAAATGTGGCAATCGAACCTTTATATTATGGAATTAATTTATAATGCATTAATTGATATTATTGAGTTAATTTTAACTAGATTTGGATCAAACAGAGGTAAATTCTAAAGAAAAAGTTGTGATTGGTTAAATTGTGTACTGCTAAGCGAGGTAAGAGACTTGTTTAATCTTGTGTGGGGGAATTTTCCCTTAGAAATTGTGTTGGTTGTGAAAATTGTGATATGTGAAAGCCGTGTACGCAAGGTAACGAGTGTGTACATGGGCTAAATGTGGAAATTCTGATTTTATCTATGTAGATTTCTTCCATGCCTTAATTGAGTTATCCTATCATGTTATATACATCATCATTAGTCTATTTTCACATGTTCTACTTGTTGTATCTCATACTTGCTAATTGCTATACATGTTTAGTTGAAGTTCTTGTTTCCCTTATTCCGTATTCATTATTTAACCGTTGAACCCTTTACTTGAAGTTGTTAAATTGTGGAATATCTGGTTGTTGAATTAGTATTTTCCCTTGAATCACTGATCAAAGAGCGATTGAGTTATAAAGGTCGTGATTCACATTAAGGCTTGTGAAATTCTATGTTATTGAGTTATTCACTTCCAATTGTTCTTATTTAGACTGTGGGTACAATGTGGTTGAGCCCTGGGCTCCTTGTAAAAATACTATTATTGTTGATTTCTTTTGGCAAGTTGTGATACTGGGCACTTGAGGTGCGATCTGTGGTACATTGTGATATTGACACGCATGCGGTGGTATAAGGTTTTGGGGTTGAAACGCATGCGGTGAGATAAGGTGGGCTTGATACGCGTGGCTAGTAGGGGAACTACTAGAAGTCATGCGGTGTGATAAGGTGGGCTAAAGGCAGGATGCTATTTCTGAAAAATAATTTTTAAAATTAAATGTGAAGGCTCTCGCGGTGATATAAGGAAAGATTATGATTTATTTATGTGATTTGAAACTACGAGGACGTACCTCGGTAGTGACTCTTGTTGGCATTTCTCCATTTTTGCCCATGTCCTTGGTTGTTGTTTCCTTAGCATATTATTAATTGTTTTCTCTGTGCTGCATTAAATTGCTTTAGTTCCTTGTAGTCAACATTGATATGTCATTTGTTGTTTAAATTTTATTACTGCCATTATTACACTACCTTACACTTGTTTAGTCTTTTATTTATTCCAGTATGGCATTGACCTGACCTCGACTCTACCGAGGTTAAGCTTGGGCCTTACTGGGTACTGTTGTGGTGTACTCATGCTATGCTTATGTACATCTTTTTGTGCAGATCCAAGTACTTCCTACCAGACCAGGCATCGGTGAGCTTCTGCTACTGTGGGTACAATGTGGTTGAGCCATGGGCTCCTTGTAAAAATACTGTTATTGTTGATTTCTTTTGGCAAGTAGTGATACCAGGCACTTGAGGTGCGATCTGTGGTACATTGTGATATTGATACGCATGCGGTGGTATACGGTTTTGGGGATGAAACACATGCGGTGAGATAAGGTGGGCTTAATACGCGTGGCTAGTAGGGAAACTACTAGAAGTCATGCGGTGTGATAAGGTGAGCTAAAACGCGGGATGCTATTTCGGAAAAATAATATTTAAAACTAAATGTGAAGGCTCTCACGGTGATATAAGGAAAGATTGTTATTTATTTATGTGATTTGAGATTACGAGGCGATACCTCAGTAGTGACCCTTGTTGGCATTTCTCCATTTTTGCACCTGTCCTTGGTTGTTGTTTCTTTAGTATATTATTAATTGTTTTCTCTGTGCTGCATTAAATTGCTTTAGTTCCATGTAGTCAACCTTGATATGCCATTTTCTGTTTAAATTTCATTACTGCCATTATTACACTGCCTTACACTTGTTCAGTCTTTTATTTATTTCAGTAGGGCCTTGACCTGACCTCGTCAGTACTCTACCGAGGTTAGGCTTGGCCCTTACTGGGTACCGTTGTGGTATACTCATGCTATGATTCTGCACATCTTTTTGTGCAGATTCAAGTACTTCCTACCAGACCAGGCATCAATGAGCTGAGTCCATACGCGAAGACTTTAAGGTATACCTGCCGGCATTCGCAGGCCTCGGAGTCCCCTTCTACCTAGATTATTTTATTTCTTATTCTTTATTAGACTTTGATGTATAGAGATGATCAGTATCATTTCATAGAACTTGTGACTTGTATTTTGCCAGATTTTAGGCAATTATGTATGTACTAGTTGTTGGATTTTAAGACTTTAATTGTTATTTCAGTTATATTCCGCATGTTGTTAGGCTTACCTAGTCTTAGAGACTAGGTGCCGTCACGACATCCTACGGAGTGGTATTTGGGGTCGGGACAAGTTGGTATCAGAGCCCTAGATTCGTAGGTGTTATGAGTCACAAGCAAGTTTAGTAGAGTCTCGCGGATCGGTAGGGAAACGCCTGTACTTATCTTTGGGAGGCTATGGAACTGTTAGAAAAAGTTTCACTTCTTTGATTCCCTATTGTGTGAATTTGTTGACTTCGAAATTTTAAATCATTGTCTTTCTATTCTCTCACAGATAGTGAGGACACGCACAACTGGATCTGATGATCAGACACCTATGCCCCCTGCTAGAGTCGCGATAGGCCAGGGCCGGGGTGGAGACCAACGACGGCCACGCGGTGCAGCCAGAGCACTTGCACGAGCTGCTACAGAGGAGCCACCAGTAGTTCCAGTTGGAAAGCAGGCACCTAAGATGCTTGTTACTACCCCTACACTTCAGGAGAC